TYTYTTRWATGACTCTTTCGTTTTTTTTTTTATTTTTTTTTTTTATTTTTATAATATTTAATCGTATCATTTGTAATTGTTTTTTTTTTTTTAATGATTGAGTCATTGTATAACGGACGCATAAGAATACATATATACAATCCATCAATATATCATATATAATCAATCAATATATATATATATATGTATATGTATAAAAAAAAAAGAAGCAAAGAATATAAAATAAAAATGAATGAATTAATATCTTCTCGTAATGATCAATCGTTGATTAGAAATAAATTAATAAGGGTAATACAATGTTATCATCAATGTTTCTTTTTACAAGAACAAAGTTTAAAGAATAAAGAATAAATGATCATAATAAAAATGTAGAAAAGAAATGAAACAAAAAATTGTTAAACGTCTATTCGCAAAATGTCTTTATTATTATTTTACTCTACCAATGTGCGATCCAGAAATGTTGAGAGAACACAAATGTTTTTTTATTGAATTATCCTGTACAACCAACAATTGTACATCTCTTTGGGATTTTTAATAATAATAATATTCAATAATATAATATTAATACTAATAATATATATATATATATATATATATATATTAGTATTAATATTAATATAAGAGATCCAATGTAATCCAAATTTCATCAATTTGAATATGCAGTTTCATTCATCTTCGTTATTTCATGAATAAATATATGTTTCATCGGAACACTGAAATGGTAAATAGTAACTACAACCGTCTTGTAAACAACAAAAGAAAACAAAAAAAATATTTAAAAAAAAAAAAAGAAAGATGTAATAATAATCTATTGAACATCAAGATAAAAAGAAGATGTTCTTATTGAATTATTTTTAAAAGCAAGAATCTTTCTGTCTCTCTTTCAATCTTTCATTTTCTCTTTCTATTTAGTAGGAAAAATCTTCATCACTATGACAAAATTGGGTAAAAGTGTGTATCGAGTAAGTCCTTTCATTCTCTCCTACGATTACATCCATGTATTATTACATAATAAAGTATTAGCCAATGTGAATTAAAAATAATAGTTACTAAATAATACAAAAAATTATTCTTATTATTATTATTATTATAATTATTATTATTACTATTATTATTATTATTAATATTAATGTTTATTATTATAATTATTATTATATATTATTATTATTATTATTATTATTATTACTATTATTAATCATAAGCATTCTTATATTCTTCGGTGGTTCTAAAAGATGTCTTTTTTTTTTTTATTTTTTTTTTTTTTTAATACTTATAGTAGAATATTTTTCTTTTTTTTTTTTCCACCTTCAAAAGAATGAATGAGAGATAGGATCTTACGGAATTTAATTATTATTTGGACGAATGCCAAATTCGTACACACCTATACATAAAATTGTTCATCTCAAATCTTATCTCTCTCTCTCTCTCTCTTTCTCTTTCTATTTTTATTTCTTTCTTTTGTGCAATTATAAAACTGCCGAGTGTACACATCGAAATTTATTATGAAGAATGGATGAATTAGAAAAAAAAAAAGAACTCTTCTCAAAATAAAAATAAAATAGAGACGAATATGACACGTACGAGTATTTAAAATTGGGGATGATTCGCGCGAAATGACGCGATTGGTGCGCGCGCACGCGATAGTAGAATGTACATCAATTTAGCCGGTAAATTCAAACGACAAGTAATAAATAACACGGCAGTGATTTATTGCCGATCGCATTTTGTATATATATATATATATATTTTTTTTCTGGTTTTTTTTTTTTTACTTTTTCTCATTTTTTCTTTTTTTCTCTCTTACAAATTACATTTGTTCTCTTATCTTTTTCTCTCTTTCGGTGATATCGTACAAACAATAATTAATTATCGAATTACGTTTTGTTGTTATTTTTTTTTGTTTTGTTTAAATGACACACTCATCACTTGTTATTGAATTATATATATATATATAATTTGACGTATAGGTATATATATAATATATATGATGAGAAAAGTAAATAAAATTAAAAGTAGAAATATATTAAAGGAACATTCGAATGTTACACATTTAATATTTGAATTAATGAATAATATATATATAATATAATATAATATAATATAATAATAAATTGTGTTCGACAATTCTTACAACTTAAAAAAAAAAAAAAACATATTATTTAATTATTAAGAATATTTTTTTTTTTATAATAATAATAGGAAGCAATCCGATACACACACATCATCATTTCAATGAAACATTCGATGATATATATATATATATAGTTTTAAATAATCAGTTTAATAATATTATTATTATTATTATAATAAAGTTTTTGTTAAAGAAAGAAAGAGACAGAGAGAGAAAGAGAAAGAGAGAGAGAAAGAGAGAGAGAAAGAGAGACGTTATACAACGTGCTCCAAAGATAATTCGACTATTGACGCAATTTAATATGGATGATATGGGGGGTGATGATTTTAGGCGATGTCGTGAAAGTCAGTCAAGAATAACTCGAAACACGTTGTGTAGTATCTCTCTTTCAATCTCTCACTCTCAATCTCTCACTCTCTCTCTCTCTCTCTCTCTCTCCCATTTGTAGGATTTTTTGTTTTTGTTTAAAAGGATGGCAGTTATAAGCGGTTCCACACATAATTATAAACGGCAGTTAATTGAAATCGAATCGAATCGACTGAACGACCCTATTATGGCAAAATTCAAATATTAACTTTATATGAACAAAAACAAAATATTTGAAATACTATTATTATCCACTAAAATATATACTTCAAACAAATATCATCATCACATTCCTTTATTCCATCTTCTTCTTCTTCTTCTTCTTCTTCTTCTTCATCTTCATCATTTTTTCACTTTTATTCTTCTTCTTCTTCTTCTTCTTCATCTTCTTCTTCTTCTTCTCTTTTGATTGAAAATAATTCCTGGAACTTAGCTTGTGGAACATTAGAAAAACTTATACACAGTTGGATGAATATAATTAATTCAATTTTTCTTTCTTTCTCATTTCATTTTCTTCTCTCTCTCTCTCTCTCTCTTTCTTTCTTTCTTACTTAAACACTTTTTCAATTCATTGATCCTTACGTTTATGAATTTTTATCATAGGATCCTCTTATTGATATTATATTCCAATGAATTTGTTGAAAATATCATAGAGATGTCTTGTTTGAGATGGATCATTAATAATACAAGTATACAATCATAAAAATTCACATTACAAGTTTTAATAAGAAATGTTTCTATTAAAAAAAAAAAGAAAAAAAAGAGTCTGACGTTGATAAATGAACAACACGATTGATGATTGGAATGATTTCATTCAATTGAAATAGAGAGATTTAACTTTGTATATATTTATTGCCTCTCGATCAATAATCTCAGTTTTCTTGGCCCAATGAAGAAACACAAATCTTTTTACAGATTTTCTTCTTCATTTCTTCTCTATTTTTATTGACATTTTATGGTATTCTTCTTCTTCTTCTTTTAGTTAGTTAGTTTGTTTGTTTGTTGGAATTCTCATATACTTGATATAGTATTCCTAAGTAATTCATTGAAAATACTTGGCCATAATGATTAATCCGACAAATAAAAAATATGCGAGGTGGTTTCTTCAATCGTCGAATAATCAACCAGGTAGGTTATCAATCCATATATAAATCAAACTTTGTTTGTTTATGAATTTTAACATATAGAAACAAAACAAAAACAAAAACAAAAAAAAAAAACTCATTCGTATTATTTTATAAATTCTTATAACCAAACGAGGAGAACAGACACAAGCATTAATTGTTATGATGATAATAGTTATGTAATATATATATATATAAAAAAAAAAAAAATTCTGACTGTATAATAATTATGCATTGAATTAATTATACGCATGTAAAAAAATATGCATTGACGAGCCGCACACACACACACACCATGCTTTTTTCAATGTCACAATGTTTTTTTTTTTTTACAGATCGTTCAAGAGAATTCCTAGAATCATAGTCGCCGGCAAGTTATATTAAATGCAAATAATATTAACCACATATGTATACAGAGTACATATATATGTATATAAACAAAAAAAAAAAAAAAAAAAATTACAAAAAATGTTGACTCCTTACAACCTTGCTTCTCTTCATTTGCTTTTTTTGTTCATAGATTCACAGTGACTTGAATCAGTCAAAAAACATTATTGTTATTATATCTAAATCTTGATGATATTAATATAATCATATAATAATAATAATAATAATAATAATAATAATAATAATAATAATAACTAAAAAAAAAACATAGTCATAATAATAAAAATAACAATAATAATAAAAATAGTAATAATAGTTACAATATTACAACTATTACTGCTACTACCACTACTACTACTACCACTAATAATAATAATAATAATAATAATAGTAATAATAATAATAATAATAATAATAATAATAATAATAATAATATAGTTCCAATACGGATAGTCATTTTCAGAGGCAGTCTTCGTAATAGGTGTAATGAATTCATTTCGTTTCCTATGTCTATTATTAAATATCCTTAAATCACAGTCAATTTTGTGAAAAGTGAATAAATAAGAAGAATTTTTGTTGTTGTTGTCTAAAGCACATGATGAAAATAATTCTGAATATTGTTAAACGTGAATCTCTTGTTATTATTATTGTTGTTGTTGTATGCATGCATGCAAGAAAAACATGCTTGTATATTTTTATATGTGCGTGTGTATATGTAAATATGATTTATTATTTTGTTTGTTTGTTTGTTTGTTCATAAGAATAAAAAATATCCACAACACTACTGGACAGATATGTTTTTATCATCAAATTCGAATGACTTTCCGGGATGATATCATTTAATAAGCCATTATTAATTGCATTATTAGTCGTATATAAGTTGATACTATTTACAAATCTTTGCGAATAGTTGAAATTCACTGAAACACATTCATTGTATTATATATGTATCAGTATGTCAAATAGAATATTTTGTTTGTTTAGTTAGTTTATATAGTGGAATGATGGTAATTGACATGCATCCAGCACTTTAAGTCAGTTAAAATCATAGTCTCTTCTTAAATTGTATTAGGTATTATTATATTGTCTTATTCAATATTACTTATTAAGTCTGAGAGGGCAAGCTGAGAATCAGTCTTATTCTAAAAAAAGAAAGAAAAAAAAAAGAAAAAAAGAAGAAAAAGTTTGATTAAGGTTTAATTGTTTGTCACATTGTCACTTGTAAAGATCTTTGTTTTTAAAATGATTATTTTAATTAGCAGCATTAATAATGTAAATTGAAATAAAGTCACAGTTGTAAGAGCAGTCAGAAAACGAAAAAAAAAAAATAAAAAATAAAAAATAAAAAAAACAAAAGAGAAAAAAACAAATAAACAAATAAAGTATCATTACAACAATATCATCATCGGCGAGAATTTCTAATGGTAAACAAAATTTGTTTGTTATCGTTCGAAAAACATTTGTTTGATATGTTTCTTAAATATTTCTACGATGGTCTGGTCTGGTCTTTCTCTTTATTCGACAAATAAAATTTGAAAAAAAAAAAAAAAAAAAGAAAAAACCTAAAAATGTTAAATACAATATAACAAAAATACTGCTTATATTATATATATATATATGTATAAAAAAAAAAAAGAAATCTATCGCAAATTACAGCTTGTCCATGTGCAGTCTAAATTTGTATGATTCAAAGTTCACTGTGTTTGTTTGTTTGTTTGTTTTTTTTTTCTTTTCTTTTTTTCCCCCCTCATTTTGTAGGAATATTTAAGTACATTTTTATGCAAGAAATATAATAATTGCATTAATTATTAATTATCGTAAAATAAAATCTAAAGCCAGCGACTGTTTCGAGGTATTACCAAAAATTCAGTCTTACACAATAATTATTCTTAATCCAAATTGTTGTTGTTTTTTTTTTTTTTTTTTCTTGGAAAGAGATTGCAGTAAAATCAAAATATTATATAATCAGATATTTCAACGTTACAACATTACATTACAATTACATTAATTAATTAATTAATTAAATATTGGAAAATATTCTGAAATGACGAATTTTCATTCATTTGGCACAGAATACATATTACAGAGTACACACATTCCAACACTATCGTGAAATATCTTATTCTATGTAGCTGCATGTCATGACGTTTGGTTTTATTATTTTTTTTTCTTTTTTTTTTTTTTTTAGGCAATATATATATATATATTCTCTTATATATATATAAGATTGAATGTGTCACATAGTTGTTGTTATTGTTGTTGTTGTTTAGAATAAAACAAAGTAAGCCATAAACGAAATATTAGTAAATTACATATTCGATTATCTTTAGGCCGCTTGAAAGAGAAAAATAATAATAATAATAATAATAATAATTCATATTACATGAAATGTTATTAATAAATAATGAAAATAATTAATAATTTTATATCTGTATGAATTATTCTATATCCAATATTACAAATGTTATGAATTATATATATTTTGAAATAAAGTAATGAAATATTCTGAATTATATTTCAATTTTGAATATTCCATAAATTATAATGAGAAGAAACAATAATAATAATAATAATAATAATAATTAAAAAAAAAAAAAAAGAAGAAATAATCAATATAATTGAAAGATAATCGAATTTGTAATAATACACCGTAAAAAAGACTTTACATTATTTTTTGTCTTGCTCCGCTTATCAAAGAAATGATGTTTTTTGTTTTTTTTTTTCTATGACTTTCTATCTTAAATTAACATCTTATATTTTATAAACATCATACGATTTATGTAAGATGTAGGGAGCCAACTTTTCAGTTTATACCTGCAGATAAGTACTGGGAAATGGGGGGGCGGGGCAGGGCGGGGCGGGAGGTTGGTTGGTTTGTTATGTTATGGACTTCTTAATATGTATTAAGAACAAGATTAAGAAGTCGCTGCTACAACTACAGGGGGAACAACGTCAGGTTCACCTGCACCATCTGCTACGGCAGAATCAACGACTTTTTTTACTTTTATAGATTCTGCACTAGTATCTGTAGAACTCTCAGGAGGCTCACCATTTTGTGCAGGTTTTTCCTCACTGGTTGTTGTTGTTGTTGTTGTTGTTGTTGTTGTCAATGTGATTTTGTCGCTTGATGATCCCTCGTTAAGTCCATTTCTGTGTAAATTTTCATCCGACACTGGCACATCGTCTCCTCCATTTTGTGTTGTTCCATTTAATTTTTTCTTCTCAGATTCCACTGTACTTTTATCTTTCATCACTTCATCCGACACAACAGTTTCTTCTTTCGCGGATTCTTTGCTCGATGATGATGATTCTTTTTCTATCGATTCAACACTTTCTGATTGTTTTTCTGATTTAGGTGGTAATGACGCTTTTACTTCGACATTTTCCTTTGTTTCTCTATTTTTTGATTCTTCTTGATTCTCTACCTTTGCATCACCATCTTTACATTTCTCTGCTGCTGCTGTTGCTGCTGCAACAACGTTACTTTTTTCTTGTTCTTCTTTTGATTCTTTCTTATTAGTATCATTAGTTTTATTTTCTTTTTCTATTTTAGTATCTTCTTCTTTATTTATTTTTGCAGTAGTAATAACATCATCGGATTTAGTAGCATCGGATGATAATGGTGGATTCTCTACCTTTGAGGATACCTGTGGTGTAGTCGTCGTCGTCGTCGTCGTCGTCGTTATCGTCGTCTTTGATATTGTTTCTTCTTCGGCAGAATTTGTTGCTTCAGTTGTACTGGAATTTTGTTGTCTGCTTGTTGTTGATGATGACGATCCCTCTTCTTTTGTTTCTGTTTCAGCAGATTTCTCAGAGACACCTCCTTCCTCCCTGGTTTTGTTATCTTTTACTGTATTGGTGGTAGTTTCATTTTGAACTACGGTCTCAGACTTTGTGCACTTTTTATTATCATCAGTCTCTGATTTTGATACAGATTCGCTTTTGGTTGCCACCACCATAGCATCATCTGAAATTGATGTAGCACCAACTACTTTAGTTGGAGTTTCCGGTGGTTTAGTAGTTACCGATTGCTCTTTTTCCTCAGATTTCGCACTAGTTACAGTTGTATCTTTGATATCTTTGACATCTTTCATAGTTTCATTTTCATCTTTTAGAATTGTTTGATTAGTTTCATCATCAGCCTTGACTTTTATTTCTTGTTCGAGTTGTGGGCTTTTAGTTTCTGTATTATCCTTTTCTTTTGTATTATCATCAGGAATTTCAACATCCTCTGAAGTATCCATAGGTTCACTGCTGCTGTTTGGATTAACAGATTCATCCTTTTTCTCCAGTTCCGTGGGATTTAATTTTTGACGTTTATTTGATGTTTGAAATGTTACATCTAAGAAAGACTTAACAGTCGTATAAGCAATCGCTTCTTCATCTGTCAATGCAACATTACCTTCGCGTATAACTATAATAGGTAATATACCAGCTTCTTTAGCAGCTGCTGCTTCTTTGACAACATCCGTGAGAAATATGACATTATTGGCCTTTTCTCCTAACTTCGTTAAAATATTTTTATAACTGTTGCACTCTTGTTTAGCTCCTATTTCTGTATCAAAGAATCCACTGAAATACTTTAATAAATCGCCATGCTCGGAATGGCCGAAATGTAATTTCTGTAACTCAACACTACCACTCGAATAGACATAGATTTTTTTTCCATTGTTAACCCATAATTCCAATGACTTGGGTACATCGTCGTAAACCCTGGACAAAAATAAATATTAAAATCATTGAAATACAAATGACATGATGATAATATTATATTAAATATAACAATTATAATCTTAATTAATTAATTAAATTAAATGAAATAATGATGATGAATCTCTTACCTTCCTTTCAAGATTCCTGTTTTATAAGCTTCAGAAAACATGTGACCTTGCAGTTGTTTAAGCGAAGTTGTTTTACGATCATTATCCATTTGCCAGAGGATATTTTTCATCAATGATTCTTGTTCTTCTTCAACATTATTACCAGTAATTGGAACAAAGCCTTCAACTTTGTCATCTTCATCTTTCTTAGCCTAGAAATATAACAAAATTATATTTCTTTCCATTTAACTTTGTTTGTGAATAAAACATGAAATAAAAATCGTACAGACTATTATACAAAGATTCATTTATAAATTGTAAATGAAATTCATACGAAAAAAAAAAAAAAAACAACAACAACAAAAAATCAAAAGAATTTATTACAAAATAATATTGCATAGAAATGAATTAATATTGAACTTTTCAATAAATATAAATTGTATTCATGTATTTTTTTTTTTTTTTTTTATTAAAAGAAAATGTTGACAGAGACGATATATCAAAGTTAGGTGAATTCTAAGAGACAAAGAAAATCTCCAGGTAAAAAAAGAAAGGTTTTAGTAATGTAACAGAACAGCTGCCAGCCACCACTGTTCACCTCCTATCGTACTATTGGCTACTTGTAAAGCATCTTACAAAAACTGCTAACAAAGGGTGGTATATAGTATCATATATATATATATATATGTATATAAACCAACTTTGTATTATAAATAACATAAATCAATAAAATAAATATGAAATATTGTTTATATAACAAAAAAAAATTATCAATAATTGTTCAATTAATATTTACCTGTTCTTTTAATTTCTTATAATCTTCTTTGAAGTCGTCACGTGTCCAACCATCGGTTATGTATTTTTTTAAATTGTCTCTCACATAAGGAAATAAAACTTCCTAAAAACACAAAAAAAAACGCAACAAACAAACAAATGTCAAATGTAATAAAAAACATTAAAAAAAAAAAAATAGAAATAAAAGGATGATTTAATAACAATCATATTAATAATGATCGTTTGTTTGTTTCCATTTGAATTGTTGAAAATACAACTAACTAACAACAACAACAACAATAACAACAAATTTTATAATAAACAATACGAAAAGAAACAAACTGTAAATGAAACAAATTAAAAATGGGAAATGGAAAGAAGAAACAAAACAAAAAAAAAACAACAGCAATACCATGAAATAATTACGCCGTTCATTGTACACATAATAAATACATACACCTATATATATACATATACATATATATATGTATATATATCGTGTGTGTGTATATAAAAAAGTAAAAAAAAAAAAAGGGGGAGAGGGAAAATTGTTTTCAAACATCAATAGAAAATTTGCCGCGAAATTTATTTCAGAATATTGATACGCATTTTAACAATGAACAGTGAGAGAGAGAGAGAATAAAAGAGAAGAGAAAAAAAGAAGAAGAAAAAGAAGAGAACAGAACAAGAGAGAGAGAGAGACAGAGAGAGAGAAGGGAAGAATGAATAAAAACCGGATAGTAGAAAGAGAAAGAAAGAAAGAAAGAAAAAAGGCGATGAGAGAGGGCTCTCTCTCTTTCTTCTTTATCGAAAATTTTCAAAAAGAGAAACTAAAGAAACTGACGTTAAGAAATATCGTAAATCGCGATAGGAAATAAAAGGTATTGGAAAGAGAAAGAGAAAGAGAGAGAGATGAAGGGTATTGATTATGAAAGCATACAATTTCTAAAAACGGGGAATTTAAATATTTTTTTGACAATTTGGAAGAAGAATTCATATTTGCAGGGAAACGTAGAAAGTTCGTTGTCGCCGGCATCGTACACTACCCTTCATCCAACCAACCAACGAACGAACGAACGAACAAACGAACGAACGAACGAAACGAACGAAACGAACGATAACGAAACGAAACGAATGAATAAACGAAGGAACGAACGAATGGAAACGCGTGAGAAATATTATCCAAGAAACGTTAAGGGGAGAACAAGATAAGGGGAGAGTTTTTTTTTATTTTCTTTTTAATTTATTAATCATTACCATTATTCTAAAAGAACTAAATTTTCCGAAGAATTAACACAGGGTATATATATATATATATATATATTCTCCATTTTGTTATTTCATACGATCATATTTGACCAATTTCTCAATACTAATAATAATAATAATAATAATAACAATTACGATGAATGATAAAAACGTTATTAATATATTAAAAACGGTTTTTACGGGATAATGAGGAGGAAGAAAGAAAGAAAGAAAGAAAGAAAGAAAGAAAGAACAACTCTGTTAGGGCGCGTTCAAGAACGCCACACGGCCATGGCCTTTGTTACCTTCACGAAGCTTATGCTCGTCGTCGTACCCTCGATGTCAAGCAGAATTGTCGTTTGAGATAGCATAGTATCTTCTTGTTCCTGTGTACGCTTTTCCCCGGCCATCTCTCTTCTTCACAATTATATTATCTCGAATTCTCTTTCGACACCGAATATAATGGATAAATAATAAATATATATATATATATATATAAATATATATCTATATATATATATATTTATATCTAAATCGTGTAATTTATATCTCGTATATCAAGCCGAATGAAAACGAAACGTTAAAATCACGATATTGTATATATGTCTACGTCTCTTCGACGCGTTCTTGTTGAAAGCCGGCGAATGAATTCGCTCGAGCCCCCCGCGCACTGTTCTGTGTGCGTACGAACTCGTTTCCCTTTACCCCCTCCCCTGCCCCCCACCCCTCACCACCCCTCCCACCCTCCTGCCTACGGTGCCGATCCACGGTAACCAGGGACGTATCTATACATATTATTTTCTTACCTCTTATCCTTTATTTATTTTACACGCGCATCGTCTATTTTATTATATTTTATATTTATTTCATTTTTTGTTTGTTTTTAATACAAAATAAGTGTTCAAATTTTTGTTTGATCGTTTATCTTTCATATCATTCTTTTAGATCGTAAAAAAAATCTAAATGTATTCTTCACCGTTACTGGATCTTCTTCTATATATCTCTCTCTCTTTCATTTCACTTAACAATAATTCTCTTCTTCCTAACCTTACGAGTTAGATTCTTTTGTCAGAATATTCGTGTATCTTTTATTTGTAATGAGAGATTAATATTTATCTTGCATTATTATTTTGATTATCGTTAATGATCTTTTATTGTTATAAAATTCGTTTTTTTTTTTTTTTTTTTTATTTGAAGTGAATTGAAATCTGTTGGATGTCACAGATCGTCCTTGTTTATCAAATATTCATTTCATGCGACATATCGGGAAGAATTAATTTATCGATTAGCAACGTGAATATGATAATTGGAATAATAATTTTATTTGAAATTATATCGTTAAAACGTTAATACGTTCGAAATAAATGTATTCATGATGTTTGTTGTTTAAGTCACGAGGCACCAATATCGATTATTACGATCCTGTATTATGAACGAAAATTGTAAGTGTGTTAGTGGCCATACGTTCGATATACATTGGTATTCGCGCGTACGTGTAAATCGCTGCTACGTTCAACCAATGAGCGTTCGTGTTTTACGGTGTCATGTTTGCATCCGCCGACAACGATCCCTACGCAAAATCATTTTTTTGCAATTATTTTCATATAAAATAAGTCCATTTGAAAGAAATCTTTAATCGAACATATATCTAAATTTATCGACTTTTCATTAATAACATTTAAATAGTAAATAGAAAAATAATTATTTGAAGAAATTAAGATAAACGTGACAATGTGCACGTAACACATTTTGATATTACTCCGCATAAAAGTAGTTCCTGGACACGTTAGTTTCTTTTTTTTTTTGTGTTTTTTTTTTTGATCAATTTTTCGAATTTTACTAATTACAAACGACGTTATTTTTTTAAATTTATTTTTTTTTTTCTTAACTCAATATTAACAATCGAAAAGATATTTATTCGTATATTTGTCAATGAGCAAAGATTTTTGTTTACAATTATTATTTATTCTTTATATATTTGATGTTATTAATAGAAAACGTTAAGGTGGTTGTGTTGCATATACAGCTGAGAGACAACCACCTGATTTTTGTATGGGGTGCAAACATCGACTGTGAACGCGGAACCATTTAAATTTTGACATTCACTGGGAACTATCCACGTGTCAGTTCTCATCTGTCAACATTGTCACTGATGAACTTCTTTTGCAAACCACGTGCATCTTACACATTGTTCTTTTTTTTTTTAGGAAAAATGAATATTTCTCTATTATAAATACACAAGTTAGTTCAAATATATTATATATTTTAGATATAATTTTTCGTAGTAGGATTGTTAATCGAATATATAGTAGGATTTGTTATATTTGTAAAATAATTTTCTATAGAATTAAATTACTATTTTATTATCAAATGTAAAAGTAAACGTTAATATATATATATATCTAACATAAATAAATCAAAAATCAAATAATATAAAATTATATACATAATTATATATATTTACATAAAAAAAAAAAAAGAAAACAAACAAAAGTATTACATTTGATATCAAATGAATAATCATGAAACATTTTCCAATAGTTTTAATTTTTCACCTAAATGATTGTTCAAATGAATTCTTATTTGTTGTTGATTGTGACATTTGTCTCCACATTCGGGACATTCCAAATCACCACCTTTGCCGTGATGCCGTTTACGATGCTTTGATCGATAATTATACGTAGCAAAATGTTCTCCACAATCCTGACATTGATAAGGTAATTCACCAGTGTGCTTTCTTTGATGATGATCTCTCGAATCTTTACGTCTAAATTTCATTTTACAGTATTTACATAGAAATGGTTTTTTACCGGTATGTAAAAGAACATGATTGTACAATGATTTAGTATCATTAAAACCTTTCTCACATTGTGCACATTTATATCTTTTTTCACCATTGTGCTTACTTCTAATATGATTTATTAAAAGTTGTTTAACTCTGTAAGACATGTTACAAATATCACATTGATAAACTGGATCAACTTTACCCTCGTGTATTCGTTCCTTGTGTGCCTTTAACGACATTTGATGTTTAAACTTTTCATTACATTCCTCACATTCGTACAATGGTTTTTGTTTGATTAAAATTGGATCTTGATCGCTAATTTGATGACTTTCTATCATATGAAATTTCAACATTCGATAAGTTGGAAAACTTTCCGCGCATATCGGACAAGTAAATACTTTTGGTAATGAGATATTTTTATCGTGTTTCCAATGTTTCTCCAAATGTTCATTCATATTTTGTTTCTTTCTAAACGATTTATTACATATGTTACATGTATAACGATTATGAGAAAAGTGAATTTTCCTATGAAATCTCAATGAATTTTTAGTCGTACATTTTTGTTCGCATACGTCACATTGAAATGGTTTTTCACCTGTATGTTTACGATGATGTTCTCGTAAACGTGCTTTTAATTGAAATGATTTACCACATAATTCACATATATAAGGTCTAACACCTTTATGTACAAATAGATAATGTTCGTATAATGAATTTTCCGCGCTAAATTCTTTACCGCAAGTACTGCAAATAAATTCTTTCATATTTTCATTGTGTCTCATTTCATGAAATTCTAATCTCTCTTTGCGTACAAAGTGTTTGGGACATTTGGAACAATGATATTGACGAGGTGATATTACTTTAGCTTGATTTCCATCAACAACTAAAGACAGAGTCGAATCTTCGCAATTAGAACAAGTTACTAAATCATTAATAGCATCCGGATCTAAATCGTGAATTAATTTTCCACATAGATTACAATTAGTTGATGTTTTTTTTCCTTGAGTTTGTACAAACGATTCTTCTCGCGTATTATCAATATTTAATTCGTTATTAATAATATCTACTTGAATTTCTTGATAATTCAAATGTTTGTATTTCTTTTGATGTTCCTTGATTTTGGTATATTTGACAAATAATTCATTACATTCTAAGCAAATAAAACGTAACGAATTTGTATGCGTATAATAATAATGATCCCATAATAAATTTTCATTAGACGTTTCTTTTTTACAAACGATACATATAAATTTATCCATACTATTGAATTCATGTCTTTCCATATGAAATTTATATTTCAATTGAGACAAATATTGTGCACCGCACAAATTGCATACAATTTTTGAAGAAGATTTTGTATCATCGTTGTCTTCCATTATGGTATTCTCGTTATTAAGGATTTTTTCATGTTGTTGATCAATACTCCAGTTGTAATCATCTTCACCATTGAACCATGGAATATTATCATTAGATTCTAACTTTACTAATGTACTCGTATCTTGACTATTTACAAATTCAGGATACTGTTCGTTACTTATTTCTAATTTAACAGGATTTACTATTTCTTTACATGTTATATTTGTCTTCAACTTTTTTTTAACATCTTTCTGTTTTCCATTTAAAGAATTTTCTTTATCAAACACATTGTACATCAACGTACTACTCTTACGTTTATTATTTTTGATTTCAATACTTTGTTCGTTCATATGTGCATTGTCTTGTTTAATATTAAGTGTTACAGGTTTTTCAAAGTTTTGTAAATTGTCTTCTTTCATAGAATTCATTTTGTCGAAATTATCAACGATTGCTAAAGATATTTGAAAATTATAATCACAGTTTTGTGGATTACTAACTAATAATATCATTAAATCTATATTACAATTTGGACATACGCACACTGTATCGCTCAAAATTTTGGCAAATATATCTGTTTGTTCTTTTTCGTTGTTTATTAAATCGTAACGATGATTATCTTCATGATTTAATTGTTTCTCGTATTTTATAACTTCTTGAATAAATTGATGATAAAGAATAACTTTATCGTGACAGGACGAACATATAAACTTTGAACCATTGTCTAACGGAGATATCTGAAAAATAAAATATAAACAAATAATAATATTTTCATTTTTATATTCGTTGAGAATCAAACGGTTAATTAAAAGTTAAAAATATATTTTATGGTGAAATATAAATAAAATTATATCTGTACATACTTTAATTGGTAATGTATCTAATATCTTTTGTTTAAGATCTGTAGAATCTTCAAATATATTTTTAAGCCTTCCGTCTTGAAGATATGTACCACATAAACGACACAATAACATACTTAATGTCAATCAACAAGCACCGCATACTCTTTCAAAATTTAATATCGATAATGTTGTAAAATCAACAAATCCTATAATCATAATACATATATTTTAAATGTAACACATTTAAAACTTAATTAAACATATTTTATTATATTTTCAAATCTACTATACTTACATCAAAATATTATCATAATAAGTATATATTAATTTTGAAAATTGTTTTTAAATCATAAAAATAAGTCGAAGGATTACGTGAGGTTATTTGACAGATTTCATGAAAATATTTTCATAGATTTTTTTTTATACAATTATAATGAGAAAGTGTATTCTGTATCAATAACAAATTTTGAAAAACTTTTAAATGAATTCCACATTTTTTTAATCATTCATATAAAATGTCAAACACCATACACATATATATATATATGTATGTATACATACACATATACATACGTCAGAATGAGAGAGATGAATTTCAAGCTTATGTATCTTTGCGATGATTGGTCCATTCATTTTAAAAACGAGCCAATCAAAATAAGATTTG